GACGCCTATACAAACCCTCCACTTTACTGATCTCTGCACTGCATGCAGGAAAAGGAAAAAGAAGCTCAACTAATAGCTCAAACCAGGGCCATCATCAGCACTAAAGGTGTTGTCTGCAATCCTTCAATCAATTACTGTCAGACAGAGTGTGTGGCCTACTTCCAGACAGTGTGTGTGACCTATATGTACATGTACATCTCAGTAATACAATCATGTACATGTATATGTACATGATTGTACATCTTCAAATTTACCTCAAGTGCGCATGTTGGTAATTTGAAAGCAGGTAAACCGTATTGCACCTGCAGTAGAACTAACTGGTTGATTGACTAAGCGTAATCGGGTCATCAATAGAACGGTTGGTTTGTCAACTGACAACCGCTCTATTTAATTAGCTGCTATTTACCAATCGACAAAGCGCTAAAACACAGAACTATTGTATTGAATCCGACTGCAAAGTTGGCGGGTTCGCGTCAGTCGCCTTTTATCCGACCTAAAAATGCCCACAGACACAGGAAATGTTTTAATTCGAGCGCCTCTGGCACTGCGGTTCCCCCACCTGTCTCGGATGGAGAACCCGAAGCTGACATTTCCCTCATCGTCGATCCTGGATTAACCTCTACATTGTACATGTATTGGCCAAAATCTGAATTCTTTTACTATACAGCATGCTTGCTAGCCTATAATTGAGTATTAGAGACAGTAGGGAGGCTTATTCCCACGTAACGGTTACGGGAATATGCGTGACACACGTAAAGTCCATGCAATGGACCCACGTTCCCAGTGTTGTTTTTAGCCACACGGAACAAAACAAAAAGCATGAAGCGAAAGGCCCACATTTGGTCAAAGACGAAGGTCAGAAGCGCATCGATTACATGTATATTGATTTCGTGCTTGGGAACCTTCTTCAGCTGAGCACCCTCACAGCTTGCACAATGCGCTCCATTCTGATTTTCACCCACATTCTGGCGGAAAGTGGTTGAGTCTCCATACACGGTATGTCGTTAATCAGAAAACGGCTGTCGGTGGGTCACTGAGTATCACATTTGTACACCCACGTAAAGTACACACGGATTACGTGGGACTAAACCTCCCTAGTACTCCAGTTTTGTCTTTTTTACTTCTTCTTTTACAATCATACAACAGCCTCTTTTACGGGCAAAATTAAAATTAAAAGCAAAACAATGATGAGAAATCAAGAGGGGTAAGCACAATAACTTTTTTTCAAATCTGTTGACACACGCATTCAGTTTTGTCTGACTTGCTGGCGTACGGGTACATGTACATTTTACATTGTACATTGTACATTTACATGTACATGTATGTGTGTAACACTGGTCCGTCATAGCAACCGACGATAATGGACGGCACGACCTACATGTACATGTACAATCATGTCAAGCATGTACACTGTATTATGTAGCATTGGTTTGTCCCTCCACCATGGAGCGGGCATCGGAGTTGCGCACTGATTGGGATACTGACTGCAACTCAATGAATGGTTTTTAAGTTAACTCATCTTTTCAGGCATATTTTCTTTACAGTACAACCGTCACGGTTAGCTCTTTTGTAAAACATATTTTATTTTTTACATAGTTTTGACATCCATGTGTATCATGCATTGCTGGATTTGCCTTTTGCGGCACATTGATATTCTGGCCGGGACTAGCCAGTCCTCACTAATAATGTCGTAAACACTACAAATTGTGAGAAGTGTTTGGTCTAGAGATGTTTCTTACCTGATACTCACATGGCTTTTTGGTGCTAGATGGCAAAGTATGACAAAATACTGTCCAGAATGATTCTCCGTCACATCTGTAGCAACTAGCGTGGCAGGCGTGCTTTTGTGTTTGCGACCGCCAGACCGCAACCAACACAAATGCTTGTAACTTAGGTATTACTGGGAGTTTTTGACTAATTTTTTTTAATGATTTGTGAAGCTTGCAGGTGCATGTATATGGTGCACTAAAAACCCCAACTTCCAAAATTTGAGGCTAAGCACCCTTTTCGCGTGCTCTGGCTCACATGATTTTGCAAAATTGCTTTTGAGTTTGCACGTAAGAGGCTTTTACCTGGTAAAAAAATGTAATGTCCGTTCCCGAAGATAGCTCTGTAGTAATAGCTTCCCTGGATGGTGATTTCCGTCTTACACCTTATCCTCCGTTTATGTACAGTTGTGATACTGAAATCTCCCATTCACGTTCGCCTCCTCATGTACATGCACGTACATCTCTCCCTTCACTTTCGTATCGCCTAACTGACTTGCACCACATGCTGTCACGTGACCGTATGGACCGCAAACTCCGGGACGTGCCATGAAAACCGATTCATCTCTTTATGTTTTCCACGTTGAACTCGATTTCTTTCCAGCTCAGTGCAAATTTACCTGAACCAGGAACACTGTACAAGTACATATACATGTGAAATTCGGCAAAAAACTACATTGTAAATACAGTGTAGAGTCAACTTCGCTAATAACGACTGCGGATATAACGACAATTCGCGAATAACGACAGAATTTCCATGCCCAGAGCAAAGTCCCATCCAACTGTAATAAAATATAATGAGACTTCGTGTATAACGACACTTTGTGAATAACGACACTTTTCTGATGCCC